TGAAGCATCAGAGAGCTTGCAAGATAGAACGCATATGGATGCATGTGGGTGTGACTCCTTTGGTGCCCTCCCTCCTCCCACACAGTCAGTGAGGCAGGCCTGGAGTCTAAGCCCTCAGATGCTGCCCCCTCCAGCTTCCTACTCCCCGTAGACTCCAAACATAAATCAGCAGAGAGAGGCTTGCACCTGCCGGCCTAGATAAGCTCTGGCTAACTCCAAGTCCTGTGCACACTATGTGATCCTGGAACACACTGACTTAGAAGATGTCATGAAGGTCTATAGCCAGGTTAAAAAGAGCTACCTTTGGAAGGTGGATCAAAATTGTTAGCAAGGAGGTGTTCGTTTGTGTCGTTTGTTTGTTTGTTTGTTTATTTATTTATCTTAGTATTGCTCCCTGGTGTGACTGACTGGAGATGATCCAGGTGTTCTGTGTTGTCTGACCTAAGTATCTTCTTAATCTTATCCCACTGATGGCACTGGGTAGAAATGGGCAGATTCCAACATGGATAGAGAAAGTTTTTTGCTGAAAAAGGAGCTTCTGATGCTGGTGTAACATTTTCTCCCCCACTAAGGACTATGCTAGTCACTCACCCACCACACCCCAGATGCATCCTCTGCCCTCTCTGCCGCTTTATGCCCTGGGAGGCTGACTCCTGCAGCCAGCATCAGCCAGCCTCTCTGGCTTCCGTGTGGGCCCCAGACCCAGGAAGAGTGAGGTCAGGCCGTTCCAGCTCTCTCACGCCCTGTCTCTGGCAGCAGCTGTGTCCCTTCCTGTCACAGCTCCACTTGCAACCCAGTGGCCCCAGTTCTCATGGGGCTTTTCCAGTGGTGTTCCTCCCAGTGCTTCCTCAGCCCTGGGGGCTGTAAGGGCATCCCACCCTGGTCTCTGGTGACCTTAACCCTTTAAGCCTGTCCACATCTCGGCAGGCAGTCTCTTCATTAAAGTCTCTTCTTTTAACCACCAGGGTGGATTCTATTCCTAGCTAGATTCAAGGGCTCTCTTCCAAAATTTATTCTTGAACTCTGGAATGTGAGGGGACAGCTCTGAGCTGCCTGTGCGTGTTAAGGCCCTTTGTATCATTTCCCTTTAGTTCTGAGCTAATGCCTCAGGTTAACACCCCAGGATACTCAAAGGACTCCTGCCACCCTGCATGCATCTGTCTGGAGCATCTCATCGGCAGGGGTGACTCAGTGGGATGGGTTTGCATCCTAGTATCATCTAGTATCCAGTCCCACTGTCACTTCTCACAAGTGCCTGTTTGTCTCCTCCTGTGGTCTGGGGGGGGTCTCTGTAGAGGCGCACCCTTGCACGCTGGGAAGTGTGTTAGTGTTAGGACTGGTGTAACAAGCCATGCACACTGAGCCTTGCAGGGATTCCCTTTGAGAGAGACCAGGCATGTGATGTGGATCTCAGCAGCTTCAGAACTCAATCAACATTCTCTGAAAACCAAAAGGAGTTAGAGGGGGGATGGGTTAACCGGGTGATACGTATTAAGAAGGGCATGTGTTGTGATGAGCACTGGGTGTTATACACGACTGATGAATCACTGAACACTACATCAAAAACTTATGATGTTGCTGCTATGAACATAGGGGTGCATGTACCCTTCTTTTCACTACATCTGTATCTTTGGGGTAAATACCCAGGAGTGCAATTGCTGGGTCATAGGATAGCTCTATTTTTAACTTTTTGAGGAACCTCTGTACTGTTTTCCAAAGTGGCTGTACCAACTTGCATTCCCACCAACAGTGTAAGAGGGTTCCCCTTTCTCCACAACCTCTCCAACATTTGTTGTTTCCTGCCTTGTCAGGTTTTGCCATTCTAACTGGTGTAAGGTGGTATCTCAATGTGGTTTTTGATTTGAATTTCCCTGATGGCAAGTGATGTGGAGCATTTTTTTCATGTGTCTTTTGGCCATATGTATGTCCTCATTGGAGAAGTGTATGTTCATGTCTTCTGCCCATTTCTTGACTGAATTATTTATTTTTTGAGTGTTGAGTTTGATAACTTCGTTATAGATCTTGGATACCAGCCCTTTATCTGTAATGTCATTTGCAAATATCTTCTTCCATTCCGTGGGTTGCCTCTTGTTTTGTTGACTGTTTCCTTTGCTGTGCAGAAACTTTTTATCTTGATTAAGTCCCAAAAGTTCATTCTTGCTTTTGTTTCCCTTGCCTTTGGGGATGTGTCTTGAAAGAAGTTGCTGTGGCCGATGTCAAAGAGGTTACTGCCTATGTTCTCCTCTAGGATTTTGATGGATTTCTCTCTCACATTGAGGTGTTTCATCCATTTTGAGTTTATCTTTGTGAATGGTGTTAGAGAATGGTCGAGTTTCATTCTTCTGCATGTGGCTGTCCAATTTTCCCATCACCATTTATTGAAGAGACTGTCTTTTTTCCATTGCATGTTTTTTCCTGCTTTGTCGAAGATTATTTGACCATAGAGTTGAGGGTCCATTTCTGGGCTCTCTATTCTGTTCCACTGGTCTATGTGTCTGTTTTTGTGCCAGTACCATACTGTCTTGGTGATCACAGCTTTGAAATATAGCTTGAAATCAGGCAACGAACATGATGCCCCCAGCTTTGTTTTTCTTTTTCAACATTTCCTTGGTGATTTGGGGTCTTTTCTGATTCCATACAAATTTTAGGATTGTTTGTTGCAGCACTTTGAAAAATGCCGTTGGTATTTTGATCGGGATGGTGTTGAAAGTATAGATTGCTCTGGGTAGCATAGATATTTTAACAATGTTTATTCTTCTGATCCATGAGCATGGAATGTTTTTCCATCTTTTTGTGTCTTCTTCAATTTCTCTCATAAGTGTTCTCATAGATCCTTTACCTCTGGTTGGTTAGGTTTATTCTGAGGTATCTTACGGTTTTTGGTGCTATTGTAAATGGAATCGCTCTTTCTACAGTTACACTGTTAGTGTATAGGAAAGCAACTGATTTCTGTGCATTGATTTTGTATCCTGCCATGTTACTGAATTGCTGTATAAGTTCTAGTAATTTGGAGGTGGAGTCTTTTGGGTTTTCCACATAAAATATCATGTCATCTGCAAAGAGAGAGAATTTGACTTCTTCCTTACCTATTTGAATACCTTTATTTCTTTTTGTTGTCTGATTGCTGATGCTAGGACTTCTAGTCCTATGTTGAATAATAGTGGTGAGAGTGGGCATCGTTGTTGTGTTCCTGATCTTAAGGGAAAGGTTCTCAGTTTTTCCCCATTGAGAATGATATTTACCGTGGGCTTTTCATAGATGGATTTTATGAAATTGAGGAATGTTCCTTCTATCCCTACACTCTGAAGAGCGTAATCAGGAAAGGATGCTGTATTTTGTCAAATGCTTTTTCTGCATCAATTGAGAGGATTATATGGTTCTTGTCTCTTCTTTATTAATGTGTTCTATCACACTGATTGATTTGCAGCAATGTCCACAATAGCCAAACTGTGGAAGGAGCTGAGATGCCCTTCAACAGATGAATGGATAAAGAAGATGCGGTCCATATATACAATGGAATATTACTCAGCCATCAGAAAGGATGAATACCCAACTTTTACAGCAACATGAATGGGACTGGAGGAGATTATGCTAAGTGAAATAAGTCAAGCAGAGAAAGTCAATTATCATATAGTTTCACTTATATGTGGAACATAAGGAATAGCATGGAGGACATTAGGAGAAGGAGGGGAAAAATGAAGAGGGGGAAGTCAGAGGGGGAGATGAACCATGAAAGACTATGGACTACGGGAAACAAACTGAGGGTTTCAGAGGGGAGGGGGGTGGGAGGATGGGTGAGCCTGGTGACGGGTATTAAGTGCATGAAGCACTGGGCATTATATGCAAACAATGAATCATGGAACACTACATCAAAAACTAATGATGTACTGTATGGTGATTAACATAACATAATAAATAAATAAATCAATAATTTTAAAAATTAAAAAAAAATATGTACTATATGCTGGCTAACTGAACATAACAAAATAATGAAAGATAAAGAAAGAAAGAAAGGAAGGAAGAAAGAAAAAGAAAGGAAGAAAGAAAGAAAGAAAGAAAAAGAAAGAAAGGCTCCTTAGGGTGCCCTAGCCATAGGGTGAAGACATCTTACATTTCAAGGAGCATTTCCGATCAATACACAGAACATCTGAGCAACTCTGTGAAGAAGAACATTTATATTCTCAGCACCCATGGGGCTAAGGGTGGGGACAATGCTGACTGCCACACAGAGAGCTTTCCCACTTTTTTTTTCATTTTTCTATAAAATCCCCGCTGAACCACAGTGCCTAATCCAGCCTCACAGTCTGTCCCTGAGCTGCCCCCTTACCGTCATTGGGATAACGCCTCACCTCCAATCTCATGCTGCTGTGGTCATTGCTTCTGGTCCTCGGTGAGTAGGATGCTGGAGCAGGACCTGGGCGAAGCTGAGGCGGAACCACCGTGCCCGGGCATCCAAGAGCTTGCTCTTGAGCACACGTCTCTCCGATGGGATGAGTAGGGATCGGCCCTGGCTTCTAACTCAGGACCAGTACGCGTCGTGAGGATCAGTACTGAGCAGAGCAGGTCCCGGGAAAACAAAGGACTATGCATCTCTTTTGCAAATACTGATGCCCTTTGCTCTCTTTAAAACATCCATTTCTGCTTTGATCTCTCGGAAAATTGGAACACTTCTTAAAATGAGATCAAAGGAATGTTCTGTTAGGGTAAATTCTATTTCCAGGCCACCGAAATCCTACTCTGTCCCACACCAAGCCAGCACACCTGGGGCGGATGTCTTTCTTTCCTCGACTTACACTTTGGAGTGGCTTCAAGTCCCACCAACTGTAGATGAGACCACAGCTTCTGCTGCTAAGTCTGACCCTTGCACACAGATGCAAACACTGTGCTGGCTCGAGAATAAGGAAGGAGGGAGAAACAGCGTGCACAAGATGTGAGCAGACACCTCGTTTCCTTTCAGGCCCTTCCTGACTTCTGTGTTGCCAGTGGGCACTCGATCTGTCTCAAACAAAAGAGTCAGTCTTAAAAAGAGAAGGTGTGAGAGGAGCAAATACAGCGTGAAACTTCTTGGGAATTTGCCTGCATAATAATCAGCTCTGGTAACAGGGAAAGACTATGTTTATGAACCGTTTGGGTCTTGAGCCCTTGATTCTACGAGAGGTTGTTTGTGAGTGAGGGAAAGAAGGAAGCAAGCCAAGCTGGAGGGAGAAAGGAATAGACAGAATGAGGGGAGGAGGACGGAAGGGATGAGAAGTGGGGGGTCGAGGGAAGAAGACACAGAGGGAAAGGGGGCAGAGAGACCAGTTGGGGAGAGGGTGGAGGTTACGTTTTCAGAAAGCGTGCAGCCCCTGGCTGGGTGGTGATCTCTGCCTCTTTCCCTGCAGTTGCTGTGGATGCCCAGGCTGGTGAGTTCCCCTGTCTTTGTTCTCTTCTGTCTCTGGGAGGCCCTCACTCTGCCGGCGAGGCAGGTGCCGCTGGGGCTGTGGGGACCGGGGCCAGGACTGGGGTGGGGCGAGGGGGAGGCCGGTCCCCACCGGGCAGGAGAGCTCCGGTGTCCCTTCATCCCTGCACTGCTACCTGCCTGCCTGCTGGGCTAAACCCCTGGAACCTGTCAAGGCCATGAATTCTTTTCTCCTTGCTGCTGAGCCCTGGGACCAGAAAGCAGTTACCCAGGAAGGGAAAGCAGACCATACGCAGTTACTGCTGAGTAAACATTCTCCACGTTCTCCTGGTTCCGGACCCCCAGCAGCACCAGACGCCATGATGGGAAACACATTTACCACAGAGAGGCAACTGGATGCTGGGGAGATGCTCTGCCTAAAACAGGGCCGTCCCCTGAACGTTTCCACGCCTAACTTGTCTTACATTATTACACTGGAAAGTTACATTTTCTCTTTACCTCCTCCTTCAAGGAGGTATTCACCCTCCTACAAGGGGTGGGGGGTGGGGGGCATCCTTACATAGCTGATATTTTTAGATCTGACGATACACTGTATTGCATCTGCTGTGATTTTCAGCCAGAGGGTTCTTCGGACGAGCTTCGGCAGGACCTGATGAGATGTGCGCGTATGCAGATTGTTCCTTGCTCTGGGGAGAGGGTCTGTCAGTCAAATGTCAAAGTTAAGGCCACTCTCCCGAGTATCTCCCAGCCAGACCCTGGTTCCAAACTCAGTGAGGTCCAGAGTCATCTCTTACTTATCTCTAGCCCTGTCGTTACCATCATCTCGGTCACGTGAGTCTTCTTTCTCAAACATTCTTTAATCAAACTGATTTCATCTCTATCATCTTCACTGAAAATCTTGCCCAATCTCCACGTGGAGGAAGGAAACTTTTGGCCTCCAGGAAGGCTTAAGATGTGTCTCTTTTTGTCAGTGTTCCTGACCCACCGCCATGCCCGCCTCCTGGTCCACAGGTGACACTGAGCGGTCTGGAGGGAGCAGTGGTCTCTGTGCTTATTAAGAACAAAAATTCTGAGCGAGCACATCCAACATGTTATATAGATAGAGAGCCCTGGAGAGAAATACTGTGAGCATTGCAAAATATGTACAAAAACAAAAAAATCAAAAGATGAGAAAATGTTTCATAGAATATGGAAGTCCCACCTCTTTATGGATCCCACTTTGGAGACTGGACCTAGAGCCCACGCGAGGGTGGTCTGCCTTCTGAGGCAGTTCCCTGAGAGCTACCGTAACTCAGGGCTACAGGGCAGAGCCTGCAGACAAAACAAACACTTCTTGCCTCCCCCCTTTCTCCATCCTGTTCCTCCATGTCCAGCTCTGCCTCTCTTTACACTGAAGGGGAATGAATGGTCCAACGCAGTCCTGGGATTAGACTTTTTATCAGAATGGCGCACATCTCTGCAATTCAGCCCAATGCACCACGATTCTAAATTGATATTTGAAACTGAATTTCTAGCTCAGTTGTCAGCTGAAAAATATCCCCCCCCCCGAAAGCCCCAGGCTCAGAGCTGGGTCATAGTGTATAGGGCTGGCTCTCTTTCCTCTGCAAACTTCCAGCTTGGAACCTCCAGCCCCTGCAGCCTAGTGGTTTCCTTCCCCTGCTGGGGCAGATCCACACACCAAGCTGCCCTTAGCTCTGAGGACCACTGTCCTCCAACGGGAGGCAAGGACCCGAACAAGCAGAGGAGCCCACCCCTTCTTACAGGGTCCATCCAGCAAAGGGTTCTCAGAAGCCTCTGGAAAAGGCATTCGGGAAGGGCTCATTCCAGGTACTGATTCTGCAGCCCCGGGGCTACTGTCCCAGCTGATGGATGGTTACATCAGGGAGAAGACAATAGGAAGGTGTTTGAATTGCAGCCACTGGGCTGAGCCTCCAAGGAATGAGAGATGCAGACAAAGTTGATCCTGGCTGCCACAGGGACAGGAGGTCACCTTGAATGGATGCAGAGATATAAGTGTCACTTAAAAATCCACATTTGGTCCAGAAATGGGACTGAAACTTTTTCAACAGACATAACATTAACAGGAGGTATGGAAGGCACAAGATGTCAGTAAGGGTTCCCAGGGATCTGTGCTGCACAGCGGTGTGTGCGTGCGTCACCCCTCCCCGACGCGAGCGGGAGTCAGGGTGCTGGGACTGGGTGGGGGCAGGGCTGACGCTGCAGTGTCTGCATCTTTTGCACACTGGCCGAGCACTGACATGCCCTGCTATGTCTATGAAGGAGACGAGGCGGTTGTGAGGCGCTCTGGGGAAAGCAATGACATGGTAGGGAAAGTGACGAACTACGAGGACGGGTCTCTGCTAGCCCCTTCCTACGGCCCCTCAAGCTACACCATTTCAAACGCAAGGCCCAGGGTCGGTGGCTTCTCTTCCTGTGAGGTCCACGAGCTGTCCTTCTGTACACTCAGGACAGGGAAAACGAGATCTGTGTGGCTCACTGTCCAAGGTGAGGCTTCGCCGTTCAAGGGCCTGTGTGGGGGGCACCCGGGTGCGGGCCAGGGGACACACCCAGGGAGGGAGCGATGGTGGGTGGCTGTGTGTCCCTGGGTCTGGGTCTGTGAGTCCTGCTCACTGGGGCTGAGAAGACAGGGCACCTCCCCGCAGGACCTGCACACTGCACGACGGCTGGTCTGTTCCCTCTCTCCCTCCAGAGCTGTTTCCAGCACCCACGCTGACCGTCAGGCCTTTGCAGCCCACCGAGGGGACCTCAGTGACCCTGTCCTGGGACACCCAGCTCCCCTGGGACAGGTCCGGGACGCAGCTTTGCTACTCCTTCTTCAGGGATGACCACACCCTGAGATGAGACAGGAGCTCATCAGAGTTTCGGATCTCGGCCACAGGGAAGGAGGACTCGGGATACTACTGTGTGAGGTGGCGACAGCGTCCCACAGCGTCTCCAAGCAGAGTCATCGGCCCCACGTGCTTGCGCAGGGTGAGCCCCAGGGGCGGGGCTGCAGGCTGGGTCCTGGGTCGGGCAGAGAAGAGCAGGACTCCTGGGGAGACCTCAGCTGTGCCTCCCCTGTCCCAGCGGGTACGGCGGGTATGGGGCTGTGGGGACTCCCCTGGGCTCCGCCCTATCAGTGGCCACAGGGGCGCCATCTCCCAGAGCTCTGCTCTCCCGGTCCACGAAGCGACCATCATAAGCTCTCCCTGCAGCACCTTCTATTCTGCTCAGCGAACAATAGCTAAAGAATCATGGTGTCCGTCTGCGGGGAGCTGCCCCCAGCCAGAGGCACCCCGAGCCCAGGGAGAGCCACGAGCAGCAATAGCAGGAGGGGCAGGAAGAGCCCCCAGCACTTACAATCGCTTCCCGAATGCCAGGCCTGAAGCCGGGCTGCTGTGCTCAGTTCCAGAAGAACCCCTCTGGTGCCCAAAAGTCTCTGGACAGGGAGGACTTTCAGGAAGTTTACCAAGTACAGGCCCTGCTCCGAACAGGCCTAGGGGGAGCCCCGCAGAGCCCTGGGGAGCAGTGCTGTGACGGGATCTGTAATGTGGGTCCATTAGCATCCGCATTTCACACACAAGAAGCCTGAAAGCACAGAGCAGTCAAGTGACCTGCCCGGGGTAACCCAGCCTGGAAGCGGTGCAGCAGGAATGGGACCCCAGGCACGCTGGGGTCGGCGTCTGCCCCTGCCTCACCCCGTGCGGGTGGACGGCAGTGCGACCTCGGCTGCCAGGCGCTGGACACCTCCAGGCAGCCGGCTGCTGGGTGGGACTCTCCCTTCATCACCCCCAGAGCCCTGCCACACTGCTACGAGGCTCCACACTCCATCTTCCAGGAAACGCGGGGTCACAGATGAACTGACCTACCGAGAGCATGCAATGAATAAGCGGCAGAGCGCTCCCGCCAGCCCGCTGTCTCCTGTCCCGCCGTCCTGCTGTCCCCTGTCCCACCGTCCCGCTGTCCCCTGTTCCGCCATCCCGCTGTCCTGCTGTCCCCTGTCCCGCTGTCCCGCTGTCCCGCTGTCCCCTGTCCTGCCACCCCACTGTCCCCTGTCCCGCTGTCCCCTGTCCCGCCGTCCTGCTGTCCCATCATCCTGCTGCCCCCTGTCCTGCTGTCCCGCTGTCCTGCTGTCCCCTGTCCTGCCGTTCCACTGTCCCCCTGTCCCGCTGTCCCCTGTTCCGCTGTCTCACTGTCCCCTGTCCTGTCACCCCACTGTCCCCTGTCCCGCCATCCCGTTGTCCCCTGTCCTGCTGTCCTGCCGTCCCACTGCCCCCCTGTCCTGCTGTCCCACTGTCCCACTGTCCCCATCCTACTGTCCCGCTGTCCCGCCATCCCGCCATTCCGCTGTCCCCTGTCCTGCTGTCCCCCGTCCTGCCCCCCGCTGTCCCCCTGTCCCACCCCTCGCTGTCCCCCTGTCCCCCTCTCCTGCTGCAGGCCAGGCCATGGCCATTGTCTGCCATGCAGTAGCACAGGTGGCCCTGCCGCAGGGCCCTCAGCATGCTCCCTCCCCACCAAACACTCCTCTGCCTACACCTTGGCCTCCAGCAACTCCACCTGCCTAGATGCATAGCAGGTGGTACCACCACCACCCCAGGCCCTCACCTGGCCTCACCTGGCCTCACCTGGCCTCTAGTGTTCATGCAGGCATCCCGGTGGCCCTCACCTGGCCTCACCTGGCCTCACCTGGCCTCACCTGCCCTCACCTGGCCTCACCTGGCCTCACCTGCCCTCACCTGGCCTCACCTGGCCT